GTCAGTTTCTCCATATATCAGAAAGCATGAGCAATTGCACCAGGCCACTTAATATCAGGTGAGATGGCAGATGGACCTTGAGGATTGAACGGCTAGAGGACTGGGTATGTTCAAGACACAGTTTAGAATCTCCAATATTACCTCCATAAGTAACCATACATATGTTTATTCAAGATAGATTCTTCCTCAGATTCTGTATTACTATTACCCATGTGCTTCCATGTATGTAACAGACTTTCTAAAACATGTATGTTCCTGTAATAGAAGAAGGCAGATGATAAAAACCTCCCTGTGTAAGGCGGCCAGGAGCAGTGACAATTTAAGTGTGGCTCTAACATTGAGCACCATTGCTATATTAAGATGCCTGAGTGTTCTTTCAACACTTTGCTAATGAGATTCTTTAAATTAAGAAGGTTTATTTACAGGAACAATATATTATGCACTGTGATATTATTTTCCTCTAACATCTGTTATTGCAATTTTCTACTTTTGGCCATTTAGCTTGGCCCAGATTTTGGGGTATATTATTGCATGGATGACTCTTTTTTAAAAAAAAGGTGTGGAATCCAATGTGGATCAGGGAGCTATAACCTTGTCCCCATCCTCACATTGCATTTCTGATCCAGATATCATGTTATAGCTTTGGGAGGAATGCTTCTGTTGGCAAGAGCAGCAGATTTCTTTCCAAACCAGATAGCAGGTTCTGGATACTCAGGTTTAAGGTAGCAAGAAACTAAGAAATATATATTGATTAGGGCAAGAAAGCTTGCAGAGACCCTGAAGAACAAATCCTGTGAAGAACATTGAGGGAGGTGGCTCCATTCAGCCTGGAAAAAAAGCATCTGAGAAGTAGTATATGATAACCACTTTCAAATACTTTAAAGGGCCATTCCATAGATGATGGAGCAACCCTCCTCTTTGTTACTCCAGGGCAGTTTTCTTCAAGATGGGAGGGAGTATGGTTTGCAGAATTCTAAACCAACTCCCCCAATTTTGGGAGTTACAATCCCAGAACCTCTGGAGAGCTTCAAGCTGGAGAACAAAAACAACATCAACCACTAGAAAAGTTTCAAAGCTATGGTTCCAAATGAAAAGAAAGTGGATCTTGACTGCAAGTTAGAAACACCATCCCATTGTGAAGAAGTTCAGGAGGGGAACAAACTCCCCCAAATGTGGCAGATTCCCTTCATTAGTGGATCTTAAGTAAAAATTAGACATAGGGTGTTGATATAGTAAGTTTCTTGTAGAGGCAATTCATATGCTCATTATGCTTCAGCAATAGGATCACACACAACCCCCCTCACTCCATTTTTGCGGCGCTCAGAAACCTTTCCCTTCGAAATCATACCACCAAACTTCAATGGCTTATTGCTGATTTTCAGTGACATGATTTTGTATTGGTTTCCTTCTAAGTGGTAGCTTCTTGTGGATCTTGGATGAACCTGGATAACTTAAGTAGGGGTGGACCAGGTTAATATTTATATGAGAGACCACTAAGAAATCTCAGGGTTGTAGGGTGGACTGGGAAGTTGAAAACAACATCACAGAAAAAAGCAATTGCAACCCATTTCCATGTTGTGGCCAAGAAAATGACATGGACGTGTCCAAATAGTTGTAGAGAGTAAGGAAGATGACATTGGCAGAGATATGCAGACTCCATAGCCTAGTCAAAAAGGGCTAAAGCTTTTTTAAGTCCAGAATGTCCAGATAATGTTCAGAAGTGGCTCAGCAAACACCTCCCTATAAGAAGGAGGAAGAGGCACAGCACAATCAGACTTGCAAGTTCCTGTTACTATAGCCAATCTCAATAAAAGTAGTTTTAACCTTCCTGTGGAGCTGATTTCCTTGTCTGGTCAACCTAGTGGGGCTTATAATAGTCATCAGGAGTTGAGCTTGACTCAAGACAGTCTTTACCTAAACTGGTATATTAGACCTCTGAAGGATTAATACATCTTTTGTGCATTAAAGGAGCTTTCCCCAGCCCTCTCCAAAATTGTCCCAGAATTTCAATCCTGCCCTCTCTGGTGGCACAACTAACTAGAGCTTTATGCTCCCCCATATTGACTTTTTAAAAAATGCACCCTCCTGAGGAAAGAAAAATAACCCACCTCTTTGGGAAACCAATCTGGATTGCACCTGTAACTGGGGGAAAACACACTGATTCCTTCATAGTAGAGTTTCCAATCTGATTTTCCCTCCTAAGCAATACCTATTAATTAATTCTTTAAAAAAAACCTGTGCCGTTATTAATTGCCTGCTGAAGTGGTGCCATAACATATCCAGCTTCTTCACACGCCTTCTCCATTGAAGTAATTAGGATGGCTCACTCATACAGAACTTTCGTATTTACTATAGAACACCCACATCACTTTGAAATAGGGCATTGAAATCAGAGCACTGCAAAATGCACAGCAATGTCATTATGCTCAAGACTAAAATCTCATTCCATAATTGCCAGAGAGAACTGCAAAATAAAATATGCTTAAACTTAAGCCTTTATGCAGAATTAATTATTTAACAAAGAGGACCTCTTTCTGAAGGTATAGAGACATTAATATATGTACCATAAGTGTAGTGCCAAATGCAGTTGTACATGAATAACTATATTCTTATAATGCTAAATGAAGCTGAACGTAAATAAATGTTGCTCAACAACCCACTTACTCTAAAGACAGGATTATTCTTCATAATAAAGCTTGATGCTTTATTTTGCTAGCACTTTCTCAAATGTGGGAAAGGTATAAAATTACTAGAAGATCCCCAGAAAACACCTATATATGCCTTCAAGATGCACACACTTGGAGGAGCTGAGGGCCACACTTGACTTCTGAATCATGCTGGGGGAGCTCACGCCAAAAGAAAATGGACTAGGCATGACAGAATTAAATTTAATAGACTAATAGAATTAAATTACCTATAGACCATATGATCATTTAATATTTTTCCATTCTATCACGTTAAAGAGTTTTAGGCTGAGTCAAGATTTGGAGAAGCTCTGGGGCATCTCTCAAAGTTTTCAAGGGGTATCTGTAGCTCTTGTCTTCAGTCTGTACAAACCTGTTGGACACACTTATCTGCACTGATATGCATAGACTTCCACTAATAGAGAACACTTTCCAACCCAACTCTCCATACAAAGACCTATTAATCCTTTTCATACCTTAGCTCATTTTCTACTCGGAAGCCTTTTCTTCTTGCTAGATCCATCAGGAACATTCTCCTGGTCATTCCCATTTTCCTCTCCACAATGAAAATTATTATGTCTTTAAACTCTATTTTGTAGCTGCTCAGAGGAGCTGCAATTTGCATTCTTTTCTGTCTTTTCCTCATGGGACTAAAGTCTGAAGTTTTCATCTTATTCATGACACACTGTCTACTTTCCTTTCTTCGTTGAAACCTAAACTTCACTCAGGAAAACATAAAGCTTGCAGTCAATCTGTCTGACCAACCAACAGTCTGCTTTTGAAGTTACCATCCAGTGATGTCACTTGCCCTCTTTTCCCCCAAAGTTATAAAAAGAAAGCTATATGCTGTAAATTTATTTGTCACTTTTCAGAGCACTCCTGGATCAGACAACTTTGAGAGCTTTCTAGAGAATCAGAAAAGACAAACCTATTGTCATTCTCAGTCCTATCTGAGAAAATAGTTAAATAACTTCCATAAAACTTATTTGCAGCTGATTTTTGAAATAATAGCCCAATCTAGCCAGGGAACTAGAACAAGTGAAAGTCTTTTATATAAACAAAATAGCCTTGGTGTGTGATAATGAACTAAGCAATACAGAGGCTAATTCAGGTATCTAATCAAAATATTTTCCTAATTTTCAAGTACCAAATACTGAGCAGATTTCCAAAGACTGCTTCTTAGATTTAGTACAATGTCCTGGTGGGGGGGGGGGGGG